GATGTTGGAGGTTAGAGTGCATGTTGTATGGCTTCGCTAAAGTCAGTGTTCAGGAAAAAGGAAGTTCTGGCCAAATTGCACTCATTTATTTCTTTATGTGCCATTTGTGTTGACGGATGGAAGTGGTGTAGTCTCCATAAACCCGGTGTAATCGTTTGATCGCCTGAACTCCAGACAAGAGCAGTACATCAGCCTGACTTAATAATTTACTTAGCTGGAGAGAGAACGTTGGCCACTGTTGTCAGGAATGACTTATGCATCCATAGGAAAGCAGGATGGCGTCATCATCACAGCCAGACTGTGGAATCTCCACTAGTGACCAACTGTTCAGCCATACATCGCTTTGCATGTGGATGAGTTTAAGGGAAGCCATCAAAGCCATGCAAAGCTGCATTTTAAAATGATTATCATCACATTTAAAATAACAAATGCTGTGTTTTTAGTTTATTTGCTAACTTTTGAGCTTTTTCTTCGCTCTCTTTGCTGATGCTTAGCCACACTCTGCTAAGGCTTGCGACGCGCTGCTCATAGTAGTGCAAGTAAGAGTCCTGCATTCAAAGAGTTGCACAAGTATTATCAGTAAATGTACCTAAACTGTCAAAGCAAGCCTTTCTGTTGTGCTTCTGGTGTTTAATATATGATTAACATGGAAGATTCATTTGAATCGTAGAATTCATTAAAGCGTGTAAAGTAGCGAGTAAATCTACTAGTAAAGTAAAGGAAGAACTGTGGCTCAGACCTCCAAGCAACAAGTTTCAAACGTCTCTTATCATTTGAAGCCTGTTTGAATTGTTAAATTGAAGTTTGACTCTCCTCACGTTCACAGGCCATCCACTCCAAGAAGCTCGAGTAAAACAGCAAAATAAAGTTGGACAAACATTATCCAAAAACGCAACTTGGGCAATGCAATGTAATTAGAACAAACATTACTGTGATGTATTTGGCCCAGCTGAAAGGTTGTGACTCAGTTCTCCTTTCTTTACTGGGAAACTGCTGAGAACGCCAGAAACAAACTGCACAACAGATGTAATAATGGATGAGATATCGCTGTGGATGACCTAGTGGTCATTTACCCGTTGCTCACAACATCAAGCTGCAGCTTTTACGTGTGTTTAAAATGGGAACAGAACAGTAACGTTCTTTTGTGTCGTGTGCTTAGTGCGGTGATTAAAAAGGGGAATCTTGTTTTTGATAAGTTTGTGTAGCAACAGTTGCTAAGGGGTTATGGAAAGGGGGGAATGGCAGTGTGATGTCCAGATGTTGGCAGCTGGGAATACAGCTGTGTTTGTTTTTTTGACTCATTACATTTGTAATTTTTTAAAAATTATTTATTGTTAATCTGTTTCATTTAATGTTGTCTCTTGCTCTGGGTAATGACTCGTTTGGGTACTTGGGTTCATGTCACTTCCAAAGTTGTATCTGTTGTCTGTACATGCCAGACATGAGCTGCTTACCAGTTAAGGGCAGAGTGAAGGAAGTATGAAGAGCCAACTTGTTGACATGCTTCTATTTTCCAGGGGCAATGAAGTGGTTCCTTCCCACAGAGCCACATGTGTCTGACATAAGTGCTCACCAAGAAAAAACTGTTTCAACGCTATTTTTTTTTTTTTTTTTTTTTTAATTGGTGCACTTCCTACAGCAAACCTTGCATGTGTGGCATGCCTGCTGACTTTTACAAAGTGTACGACTGTAGTGCAGCTGGCATCTGTTAAATGTGCCAGGATATGTTTACATGTCCAAAGCAAAAGTGCGTCTCTTATTATTGACAAAATATTCAGACAGACGTTTGCCGTGTTTCCACTGACTGTATTTCTAACTTCAAAGGCTGTAAAGATTCTGGTTTTGATATTGTAATGAGTTCAAACCGGAGTGGCCTCTGCTTCTGTTTAACTAGCTCATATTTCAGACTGCCGTCTGTCAGAGCAGCCTAGCTGTCCTCCTCTTTTCATGAAGCTGCATGTCCCTTTTACAGTTTAGTAAAATGCTTGCAATTTACAGCTACAATGTCTCTACCTCTCTATACTTATGGAAGTCATTCTAATAACTTCATAAATTATTTTCCAAACCAACAATAGAAAATGAAACCTTAAGGAGACAGCTTGGTGTCATCACTGGTTTCAGTTTCCTTTCTTGTTTTAAATGCTTTGTGGTTGATTCAATGAATTTACAAAAGAAAAAACAGTTTGTTTTTGCTTTCTAGAAACACTGAAACAAAAATACTTTTTAATTTTATAATAGGAATAGTTTCCATAAATGTATTTGGGGAAATGGGTAATGTTGGTATTTAGAGATCGCTTTGCTGCTGCAGCTTCTGTTAAATAAAACCAAACCTAAAGTTTGACGCCACAACCTGCCTGAAAATCCATCATCCGTGTGCCGTGATGACTTCGCTGCAGCATAGACAGAATTGGTCTTGTTTTAAGAAGTAATGTCGCTAGGAAAGAAAGGTTTTCGTTGTGGCCAGGCTTCTCACAGTTTGGATGACGATCCTGTAAAACGGAAAGCAAAGTCGTAGCAGTTGGCTTCCTGTTAGGATCAGAATACTTTTGTTTTCTTGTCTTGTTGGTTAGTGTGTGTGTGTGTGTGTGTGTGTAAACTGGTAAATGGTTCTGTCTCTACTCGTGTTGTTTCCTCAGTTTCTTGTGTTGCTGGAGGTTTGTTTTTGTTTTTTCTCGGTATGTTGTTTTCTTTCTAAAATTAATTTAAATCTAGCATGTGGACTCTGACGACCTTCAGCAGAAGGATGTGGTGTGTTGTGTAAAATAAAACATTTACTGTCCACACTGGTGTGTGTGTCTGTGTGTGATGTCTTAATATCATGAATGTATCATAAATGATCAAACTGCTTGCTCCCACCTGTTCTCTGGACAAGAAGCCCAGAATTGCTATAATTAGAACCAGGTGTTTATTACTCAGAAGTCACATGACATTTGATAAAGATTTAAACAGTAACTAGAGATGAAAGACCATCTCTACCAGCACAACACAAAGACCTGAAGTTGAAGGCAGAAGCTAATTCACTGTTGTGAACAAGTATTCTTATTGATTTTTAAACATTTCAGATCAGGCAAATTTTATTATTCAAGGGCATCCAAGTAAATACAAACGGCAGATTTTAAAACTATTATTTCATTTGTGAAATCAAACAAGTTCTGTACAAACATACCAGGTCGTATGTGGAAAAGTAGGTAACCCTCTAGATCAAAAAACAAAAACAAAGTTTCAGTGCGTTTTTGAAAAACTGATCAATCAGAAATGAGCTCATTAACCACATCTTTGGAAATCTCCGTTCAGTTTTGCCAATTCACGCCTGATTGCGTTTTTTTGGTATTCATTTTGCACAACGTATGCCACGTTATTGATAGGTATATTATTATTATTTTTATTGTATTCTATTTTATTCTATTCTTGTGCACTCTTTTTTCTTCTTTTCATCTTGCTGCTGTGAGCATGCTCATGATAAAAGAATTTCCCTCAAGATAAATAAAGTGGGCTAAAAAAGCCATTGTCATCCGTTTGCCTTTTCTGCGTCACACACACACACGGCAGGTGGAACCAAACTTATCAAACATACCATATATATTTGATGTTTTCAGTAAGTATCTACAATGTAGAAAGTAGTAAAAATAAAGAAAAAGCATTAAAAGAGAAGGTGTGTCCAAACATTTGACTGGTGGTGGTGGTGGTGGTGGTGGTGTGTGTGTGTGTGTGTGTGTGTGTGTGTGTGTGTGTGTGTGTGTGTGTGTGAGAGAGAGAGAGAATTGTGAAGATAAAGGACCGAGGCACGTCCTTTATCTGTGCGCTTTTTACGGTCCAGTTTTCCGGCTGCACTCCCAGCTCAGAACCACACACTGCTCTCCTCTCTGGCCTCGGAAACAACCTCAGAAGGGGGAGACACTGGATGGAGGCCAGGTGTGTGGGTCAAGCTGCCCTGACACCAAACTTCTCACCCACTCCTCCGTCCCTCACTTGCAGCTGAGCAAATGACCAAATAAGCTGCATCTGGAGTGAATGGAAATGGATGTGGGCCAGCCTACATAAATAACTTCAAGAAGACATCAAAAAACTCACCAAGGAGGTCACAAAAGGAGGCTGGGGCAAACAATGGGAAGAAACCAACCATCCTAGTACTGATTATCCTGCAGGGACGTCTCATGGGAGTCTGGGGTAGTTTAAACACATCACCAAACGATCACAGGGAAACACCAGGGACACTTTTTAAAAATATTTCTTTTTAGCTTTTATTATTCTCGTCATCATCACATGGGCATTGTACAGTAAATTTGGAGCAGTGTATGTTTCAACTAGTGGATTAGCATAGACACACATTCTTAAGGTCTTTCCCTCATCATTCATTCCACAGAATCAAATAGAAAATATAATAAGATAGCAAGTATACTAAAAAGTACAGATTTATTCTGATTTTATTGTTTGTTTCTTACTGGCACAAATGTTCCTCCATACATAAGGCTCAGCTCCTCCATGGAGGGAAGAGTGCACATTGCTGTGACATAAAGAATAACTAAAGGAGTCTTTGGGCCACATTAAGAAAAAATATCGATAATTTTCAGAATAAAGTCGAAACTTCGAGATTAAAGTCGTAATTTTATTTCAAAAAGAAGTTTGAAACGTTGAAGTAGTTGTTTCAAGACAAACTGCCACAGCTGCTCTGACTTGGCGAAATCATTCTTCAGAGTCTGTTTTAGTGACAAGGACACGTGAACACAGTGATAAACACAGATACGTTAAAAAGAGCTGCATCCAGAGCTGCATCTGGTCAGAAGGAAAAACACAAACTTGGAAGAGTTGATTTGTATAAAATGTCTAGTAGTGTTCGGGTCGTGATCTTATAGAGATGATGGAGCCAAGTAAGTATTTGGAAGTTCCATAACTTTCCAAAAGCTCATCCCCATTAACTGGTAAAAATAAATGTATACACACATAATTAGGTAGTCTATTTAAATAGACCCCGGGTAGTAGTGTGGAAACTCCGGAGGATGACGACATCTAAGACTACATAAGCTGAAAGTGAAAGTAAAGATGCCAGAATGGATCAGCACCTCTCCAAGGCGAGGTAGGCTGCAGAGAGCATTCTGCATTCTAAATGTGTGTTCACTGTGTGTCGCTGAAATGTGCCGTCTTTAGCTTTTCTGAGAAATCGCTTTTGCATGTCTTAGTTGGACTGTGGTGACAGAGGACAGAAATGTGCTTGAGCTGTGGTACAGAGGTGCTGTCAAGTTATCTTGTGCTCAGCGTGACGGACCAAAGTAATGTGGAATTTGCGCAAAGGGGAGACTCAGACATACAATGTGTGCGCTGTCAGCAGACCATACCTGTGTTCAAGGTCAGCTGTTTCTCATGTATGACACACACACACGGGAGCGCGAGGAGCAGGGGAGCAGGAGGGGAAGGGGTAAATCCCGTCGCCGTTCACCGTCAATGATAGACAACACGTAGAAAGGATATCGGTGGGTATCATAACTACCAGCATGATTATCGCTTCCCACGTGACGCACATACGTGGTGAACTTGGTCACCAGCATTCATGCTTCTGCTGCATGTTTCCCGTGTTCGAACAATCAGTTTGGGGTCATATCCAAGCGGTTAAAGCAGTAAAATCCTGGCACCTCAGCCCCGTTTGTGCCGCGAGTTTCCCCACGTCCTTTCCATTCTTGTTGTTTCGGTGGTCTCCCTGGAGGAATTTGCTGGCCGCTTTGAGTCCTCATGTCAAGACAATGATTAACAATCACTCAGTGATACATTAAATACGAGCAGGGAAAAGTACTTTTCTCTTGTTGCCGAAACTTAGTCATCAGCCAAATTGGTGGCATTGGTGGTGAAACTGGGTGCGATGGAGTTTGTCAAACGCATATCAACTGATTAGCTGCAGTCCCTTTGGCAATGAGAGTTACGGCCAGGAGCTCAAATTGCTAGGAACAGTAATAAAAACATATTCTTAGTGACCAAACAGGATTGGGTTGATTACAGTGTTGCACACAGAACAGGTATGATAACACAGAACAAACAATTGCGTTATTATTTATAATAATATTTATTTAACAGCTGATTTTTTTCCCTTTGTGAATGGAAATGATCTTTAGACAGATATCTGGCATGTCCAGGGTAACGTCCCCCCTCCTTTCGTTATGGTGCGGTCTGTGTCATACAGCACACAGTTTTTCTTCCTGTTGCAGCCTTGTAGGAACTGACTACTGCTGTTTACAGAGTGCTCTGCTGTAATTAACGTGCTAAGCATTTGAAGGAAGGCTCCTCGACTACTCTGCGTATATTCAATTATCTGTAGAAAAGCACAGTGAAGACCATTTTTAGTTATCAGCAAAAGGTCAAAATTCACCATATAGTAGAGCTGCAGGCTATGCTGGTGGGGAGGAAAAGGGATTTTTAGATTTCAGTCATTGCTTCTGAAATTTTTTTAAACGCCGTAACCAAGTAAGAAATTTCAAAATAAAGTACAGCTGTTGTGAAACAAGGTTTAATTTTAATATTCTGTCCCAAGTAAATTTTATGTAGGTGTAAATGAGGATTCTTCAGCTGATCTTTGCTTGTTTAAGAACAAAAGTTTATGTGATGATCGTTTAAAACCCCTCAAACCAAAGGTGGGACTGATCTTTGCCAGTTACCGATCTGATTTACACAACAGAACAAGGAAAAAAATGTTTAAACTGAGACATTTCACTCATTTTATTTATATAGAAAAAAGAGCTCATTTGGAAATCGATAACTACAGCGTGTCTCAAAATTGTTTGGACAGTGTCACATTTACCAGAGTATAGCATCTGCTCCTCTTGTAACAACAGGCTGGGAACAGAGGAAGCAGATGCTGGAGATGAATGTTTGAGGAGTCCTGGAGGATTCTAGCTGCTCAGGAGTCCTGGGTCTGCTTTTATACATTTTTGGTTTTATGACGCTTCAAATGTTTTGAGGTGGTAAAAAGTCTGGACTGCAGACAGGCTGTTCTTCTACTATGATGTCATGCTGCTGTAACAGATGCAGTGTGTGTGGTCTAGCATTATCTTGCTGAAATATTCAAAGCCTTCCCAGGCGTCACTGGATGGGAGGAGATGTTGTTCTGAAAACCTGCATATATAGCTTTCAGCATTTGTTCATTTATAAGGAACCCCATTAGCTTCCACAACAGTGGTTGCCAGTCTTCCTGGGGCCCAAGCCATGAAATAGAATCAAATAAAATATTAAGCAAAACAGTGGATGCAAAATATCCACATAATTTGGCTCTTACATCCACAGTGAGGTTTTACAATTTGGAAAATGTGAGCATATAAATATTAATAACTCTGAGACAAAATACACAAATTTCTATTACAAATCACATCTCCCTCTTACAATATTTACAACAATTAAAAGCTGCCTAAATAGGCTTTTAAGTGCCATCCATCCATCCATTCACTTCCACTTATCCTTTTCAGGGTCGCGGGGGGCGCTGGAGCCTATCGCAGCTGTCATAGGGCGAGAGGCGGGGTACACCCTGGATAGGTCGCCAGTCTGTCGCAGGGCTTTTAAGTGATTTTTGAAATTATGAATAGAAGCTAATTCTCTAATTGCATTAAATATAACAGAGTTTTTCAAAAAGTTGCTTTTAACTCGAGGAATTACTAAATTGCGGTTTGTTAATAATCAGTATGATTATGTATTTTATCTGGATGCTGCAACTGAGCAGAAAAAAATGTGGTGTGTTTAACAGTATTGCTTTCTTTAAAAATACAACTAAGCCACAGTATAATTTAGCTTGTACAGGAAGCCAGGAAAGTTTATCATGCATTTTATTTGATATTTGTATAGTATGAACACCTTAACACTAATCTGGTCGCCTTGTTCTCGACTAACTGAAGTCTGTTCAGATCTGTCTTATTAGCTGCTGACCAAATGATGGAACAGCTATGGAAAGATTTAGTTGTGGGCTGTTGACTAAGCGTAATCTACTTCCAATTAACATAGATTTGGATTTAGATACATTTAAGATCATGTTGTTTTTACTTATCCAGCCAAACACATTCAACAAATCTTCTTGTGATACGTCTATGGTGCCATTCAACCCCCACACCCCATCAGAGATGCAGACTCGTGATGTGTGGAGTGCAGAAACAATAAAAACAGCCTTTAGTCAAAACCCTGACAGTGAGGACATTTGTAGCACAGTAACACATTGATGCTAAGTAAAACAAACGCATTAACATTTAGTGGCGCGTGGTGCCGTGGATCCCAATAATGAATGCCTTGATTTACTCTGTCATTAATTTGTATGCAGTGATTTACCAGCACAGAGACAAATCTTAGAGCTGTTCATGAACTAATTAACACTGATGAAAGGGGGACATGGATCACCTTATTATACTGAGCACAGGGGCGGTCCTAGCCTTCAGTGAGAGACTGAGGCCGTATCCCAATTCAGGGTCTGGAGCCTTAAAGGCCGCATTTTAAGGCCGATTACTTCACAGCGACGCGACGAAGGCTGTCCCAATACAAAGGCTGCTCGAAATGCGTCCTTCATTTCTTTAGTCTCAGATGACTTTAGTCTCATGAACAACATTAGCTGATTGTTATTTACTAGCTAATCTTAAATGAGTGTTCAGTACAGAAATGAAGCCCAACAATCATGTTTACAGTCCTGTGGTCTCAACCTCAGATACTTATCAAATCAAAGCTCATGTAGAAACAAACAAACAAATGAACAAAAGATTTTCTCCTTCATTTCTGTCAAACACAGCTGTATGAAACGTTTCCAGCTGTTAGTATCATGGTTGCTAGGCAACCTGGGCAGCGCGACGGAGGCTAGACCGTCCCATTTCACAAGCCTCGCACTTCCGGCCTTAGTGGTCTTTGAGTACGCGGCCCTTGTGGACCGTCAAGGCTGCGTACTTTAAGGCTGCAGACCCTGAATTGGGATACAGCCAGAGATTACCACCGAACGACACAAGAAGTCATTCCTGCCCGTGGCCATCTCCCTGTACAGCTCCTCCATCTAACACACTGTAAACACTGCAATGGTTACATCCTTTTTACACACGCTCTTTTCTACTCTGTAATATTCTTGTCAATTTTCTTGATCTTTATTTATAATCCCCTCTGTTAATCCTTCATAATTATAATTGAGTTATCTGCGTATATTAGTGCTATTTCTTAAATGTGTAACATCTGTAACATAATGTATTGGTTGGAGTTCAGTCTGTTACTGTTACTATTTTTAGAATTTCTTCTTGGAGCAACTGTAACCCACATTATTTCCTTCGGGATTAATAAAGTATTCTGATTCTGATTGTTTCAGGATGACCTGCCATTATCCAATCACACATCTGCTTACCTGCATCTTTTGCTCGTTTCTCCTCCTCTTCTTTTCTCTTTTTTCTAAACTGAGCACCTGATGGCTTTGAACTTTTCTTGTCCATCTTCCATTGGTTTTAATTTTGCACTCCAGTATGAACACAAATCCCCCAACCCGAGGATCACCACAACATAACCTAACAACCCTACACCTTAGTTCACAGATTCACTTTGTCTTTATTTCTGGTATTTTGCACAAATCAGGATTCAAATCATGAATACATGATGGGCTTGGATTTACATTATAAATGAAATGTGCTCTGTTTGGAAGCAGCCGGCCCCTCCCCTTTCGACGGGTTGTGTGTGAGACTTTAAATCATCAAACTGTAAATTATAAATTTTAAATTGTTATTGATCCTTTACCCCGAGTCCTGAAGTATATATTTATTTTCTTACTCTTCTTATATTTATTGTTTGTTTACTTGCACTGCTGTAACTGGAGCCTCGTTGTCTCGTCTCTCTATATACTGGACTGTATGTAGCGGAGATGACAATAAAGTTTACTTTGACTTCAGCAGCGAGCAGGCACACCGAGGGTTGCCGATGCCTGTGATGCCGCCCTGGGCAACCGCCCATGTCGCCAATATCAAAAAGCACTACTGATTGAGCAAACTACAAGTAACCACAAGTATGTTTCACATATCTGCTTTTTTATGTGTGTAAAAACAAAGATAAACTATCATTATAAAGTGTTGTGAAAGCAAGAGTCCTGCCAGA